CAACTGAGTCCCAGTGGGCTCTGTCAGACACGGGCGGCGGGAAGGGGGCGGTTGATAACGGGTGGTTTTCGTGCCTTCCCTCAGCCGCCCCGCAGCCACCCCCCAGCCGCCTTGTTGTGGAGACTGTGGCGGTCAAAACCCCGAGCTTCTCCCTGGCGCTTTCTTACCACGAGTGTTTCCACTTGGTCTTCCACATCCTGGGCCCGGAGCAGAGGAGGGCTGGGTTTCCAGAGCATTGAAGGAGCGAGGCGCCGAAACGAGGCGCTTCTATTTCAGACCCGCGTCAGCCCTCGGGCCGCGCGTCTTCGCTGCGCCCGCAGAGCCAGCCATTTCTTATCAGCGAAGCAGGAGGAGGCTGGGAGGAGTGCGCGGCGGCTTCGACGAGCTGCTTTTCTGAGAATCCTGCCTGCCAGCTTGCCGTGCCCCGGCCAAGTCGGGGCCGGCACGTACAGGCACGTCACGCTCCAGCTAAGCTGGGCTGTTCCTAGAAAGAAAATCCTGGGTGCAGTGAGAGCTACGTGCACAAACTACTTACTCGTGTTTGCTCGCTTTGCCACATGGCAGCCCCTTAAGAAAGAGGGAATATACTTCTCTGAGAAAATGTAACACACAGGCTAGCAAAAGCTCTTCTTTAGGGACTCCCTCCTCCCTTTTGCGAGCTCCTGTCTCGTTATGCAGCTCCCTCCTCTGGGGAGCGGCCGCGTCTTACATTTCATTAACTGACTCTGCCTGCTAACTCATGGAAAACACGATCCGCTCACCTCCATCCCTCCTGGTGCTTGCTAGCTCAGACTCCACCATGGACCTCCATGGGGGACAGCCTGCCCCACCACAGTCTTTGCCAGGGGCTGCAAGGGAGTCTCTGCTCTGGCACCTGGAGCACCTCCTCCCCCTCCTTCTGCACTGACATTGGTGTCTGCGGAGTTGTTCCTCTCATGTATTCTCACTCCTCTCTCACAGCTGCTACACAGTGTTTTGTACCCTTTCTTAAATATGTTATCACAGAGGCGCGACCAACCTTGCTGATGGGCTCAGCTTTGGCCAGCGGCGGGTCCATCTTGGAGTCAGCTGGAACTGGTTACTTCCAACATGGGGGCAGCTTCTGGCATCTCTTCACAGAAGCCAACCCTGCAGCCCCCCTGCTACCAAAACCTTGCCATGTAAACCAAATGCATCATCACCGATTATAGAAGGAAGCTGGCTTGGAGATCTATGTCATTTTGAAAAAGCTCCTTTGGCTGGTTTCCTGTGGCGTGTTTCTGCTGTGCTGGGTGGGACTGTGTAGGTACCCGAGCATGTGTGGGGATGTTTTGCGCTCGGAACTAATTCTGACTTTAGCCGTGGCAGGTTGCGTCTTGTTTGACTTTTGCTTTGAAGACACGGTAAAAACACATTTAAATGATTGTTTGGAGGAGTGAGCTTAACGACTCTAATAAGGCTGACAAACCTAAAAGTGATGCATTTGCAATGTTTCTGTATGGAGCTGAGCTTTTGTATGGAGCTGAGGGTGGTGCGGCTGGAGCCTCTCCCTCCATGTCTTTGGGTCGAGCTACAATGGACACTTGTGTTGCTTCCTGAAGCAAAGCAGGGACTGCAGCAATAGTGGCCAAACAGTGCACATCCCAAGAAAGAGCTCTTCCAGCCTGAAACCCTGGCAGCAACAGCAGTCTCCAGGTTCGTGGCTTGCTGTGGACCTGGAAGAGTTTTGCTCCATTAAGATAAGACTCAGGATGCTTCACCTCATCAGGAGGTGAAGCAGCACGGCTGATCACACACGTCTCTGCAGGGATGATTTCCGTGCTGGGAAAACCCAGCAGAGGGAGCCTCATCCCTTCGTGTCACTGTCCTGGAGAGATGCAAGGAGACAACTCAGCTCTGGCCTTTCCAGCCACCAGAGGGAGACACATTTATTCTTCATTAAAAAGGAGGGGAGTCAAAAATTACCTGCTGATCTGGGTCGGGACTGGTCCCTGCTCAGGGGTGGCTGCAGCAGGGGTGCCCAGACACTATTGGCTTTAGGTGTAGGACAGCTCCGTCTGAACCCATGGTCCCTTCTGCCCCTGTGCCTCACACTACAGTCTCACCGTGGTCGCAAATTTCCCCAGTTGCTGGGAGACAGGAGCCGAAAGGTGAAGTGTCGCTGACTCTGCTGAGGGACGTAAGCCTCCCTGCAGAGCCAAACACTGCTTTGAGGCACTGCCAGTGCAGGAGAGACCTGCCTCCCCAAGATCATTTTCAGTGACAGCACTGGTCAACAAACCCACCTCCATGTCAGAGCCAATGGGTCTGGGGCCATGGAGCGGACACCTCTCCACAGTGGGTCCTTCTGGCGGTCTGACAGTCATTATGCAGGGCTGACACCGATGCTGTCGATGTGGCCGTGAGCAGGGAGGCGGACCACATGCCCTGCATGCGTTGTGCCGTGAGGACATCTTCCAGAGGAGTATCCCACAGGGCTTTACCGGGATCCACAGGTCACTATGGCCACCCGGCACCAAGGATCAGCCTCACCCCAGATACAAACAGGGAGACCCTGGCACACTGCACACACGCACTCGCACGTGACAAAGGCATGGATGCGGCTCATGGTGCAGAGTGGTATGGGCACACCAGGGCGCATGAGCAAGGCAATGTCCTGACATGTGTCAGGCAGATTAGCAAGTGACATTGACATCACTGCAGGAAAGGGGCTGCTGGTGAGCCCTGAGAGGCAGAGCTGAAGCTGGCGAGTGTGTTCGCACCTAGCACCACCCCTCTCTTTGCATCGCTGCAGCCAAGCACCCCTTGGGTGCTGAAGATGCCAAATTTGTGGTTATGAGTTAAGAAAGGCAATTTTCAGCTCTTGACCCAAGCCAGAAGGATCCCCAGGGGGATGTGTGCTGCCATGCTGCAGACCAGGACCCTGCTGTAACTGGGAGGGTTTGGCTCTGCAGTGCATGTAAGAAGTTTTCTGCAGAGGCTCTGTCCAGAAGAAACAGGTTATGTTTATCTCATGCCGCTACTCACATTTTCCCTCTACCGTAACACCGTAAGTGCGCCTGCGAGGCTGAGGAGCGGGCAGGCGAGAGCGGGGCATCCTGTCCAGGGCCAGGGCAGCTGCCAGCGGGAATGGCACCAGCGCCCGGGCACTGTCCTGCCCGCAGGGTGCCTACCCAGGGACAGCTGCAGCCCTCTCTGCTCCTCCTGGACACCTGCCTCCTCCTCCTCCTGTTCCTCCACCTTCTTCTCTCCCACTGACGCTGCTCTTTGAAAGGGGAGGGACACTGGCCACCTTCCTGCCAGGGCTGGTGGCAAATTTGTCTTGCTCTTGGGCTCCCCTCAGACAGGGCTTCCCGCTGCCATGCAGGGCACAGCCAGTGTCTCCTGACAGGGGTGTTTGGCCTTGTCTCTCCCCTGCGCATGAGGTGCCAGTGGCCTGTGCCAATGCTGTGCATTGTTGCCTATTGACATCTCGTCTCCTCTGGCCAGTGCTTCCCCCATAGGAAAAGCCTGGGGTGGAGCCTGGTGAGCTGCAAGCAGAGGCGCCCTTTGGTGTCTCCGGCTGGGGACAAAGCCTGACCCCAGGAAGGTTTGTGAAGCCACCCGTGCCACAGGTCCAGGGAGCAGGGGCGGCTCCGAGGGCGCTTTGTGCTGCTGTGTCTGCGTCAGCCAGCGCGGGCACCAGAGGATGTGCTGCCACAAGCTCTGCGCAAATGCTGCAGGCAGCCTGCTCCTCTCTCGCTCAGGCTTGCTGAAACACCTCCCCTGAGCACGATGTCTGTGGTGTCCCAGGTGTCAGCCTCAGTCCCAGCTACCGCACGGGGTGGCTTGTGAGCCTCTCTCCTGGCTGCGTTGGGTGATGCCTGGGCATTTCGCAGCTCCCCAGCACTTTCAGTGCTGCTGGGGCTGCATGTTCCTTGTGTTCGGGCCGGCTGTCATCTCTATTTAGGAGATGAGCGGTACAGAGCTGCCTAAGGGGCCAAATTCCTGTTTGGTTGCCACCTCTTTTTCCACATTGCGTAATTTCTGGGTATCATCTCTGCCACCAACACTAACAGAGATGTGAGTGCTATTTTAAACCTGCAAATGGATAATGGAGATCCCACTGCAACACTGCCAGTAACTCCTATGACAAAGGAGTTTTTTTTCTGGTTTCAGTTTCTGGTTTCAGCTATTGCCAGAGTTAATACTCAGCAGAGCTTGGCTGTCAATCAGACTATCATATGCATATGGATTGACTCACATGTAAAACTTTGACCCAGTATCACACTGCCCACCACAGCCAAAGAACGCTGGCCACTGCCATATGTGTGTTGCAGGTTTTCTGGGTTTACGGAGATTTATCCCTCTGCCTTTGCAGTGATGGTGAATGAAGTTGGGCGTTCAGAGGGTTTGAGAGAGATGATAGACCATCCCACATGGGGATCTCCAGCAGCACATCTATGGACTGACACCCAGTGACATACTGTTTGTTTGCTCAAAAACAAAAAAAAGGTGTTGTGACTTGCCTGAATTACAGTAAAGCACCAGGCTATAGTGAAGAGTAGCAGTATTTAAGGAGATAACACGCACTTCAAATGCTGCCCATTGCTCAGTAGCGCTGCTCTTTCCCATATATCTCATCTTGTGGGGAGATCAGAGACAGCTGTGGGATGAAAGCCGTGTTGGGTCAGAACGAGGCCTCAGCAAGTACTTGGCAGAGGCAGCAGAAATCCAGTGCTGTTCAGGGCTTTACTTCAGTGATAGCCTGCAAGAGTGTCCTGCAGGGCGCATGTTTTGGGAAGGAAGGTTGATATGGACTTGGCAGTGTTGGGTTTACGGTTGGACTCGATGACCTTAAAGGTCTTTTCCAACCTAAATGATTCTATTGACCTTAAAGGTCTTTTCCAACCTAAATGATTCTATAAGTGCCCTTAGGTATTTCTGTCTGCGTGTGCGTGGGTGCAGGGGGAAGGTGCCTTCCAAGGAAAAATGTCAAAGCAAACATGGTGCCCTTTGCCATCTCTGGCTATTGGCAGCATTTGGCCATCCCCCACAAACATCTTCACAGAAAATCCTTGGAGCAGAGGAGAGGCAGCACTGCTTCCTCTCTCCCAGCTACAGGCTGCAGAGCAGCGGCTGCAGGTGAGGGATGGGGGAACTTTGCAGACACATGGGGCAAATTGCACATCTCTTCCACTGACGTTCATATCAATGCTCCAAGTCAAAAGACAGAGATCATTTAGAAGATAAACCTGACACATTTCCGTTTCTCTAA